AAGCTGAGGGGCGGGCACTTCCTGAGAGACTTCCTTCTTTATTAAATGTAGTCAGATTATACAGTAATACTCAGATTACCACAGATTACCGTTCTGTCCAGATACGGTCAGTGTGTGAATATGAATGACATTAAAAAGGGAGGATTTAAAACTCAACAAAAAGAAACACACATCATCATCATCATCATTGGTTCCTTTTAGTTCATATTTAATTTCCCAAACCTCAAATGTCACATCCCCGGGCCATCTGAGGGGGACTCAGCACCGTCCCAGTTTACAGAAAGAAGATGAAGAGCGAGAGAAACGGCGTTACAGATCATTATTGACCAGGTAGCATTTGAAGCTCTCACAGTAATGATGGCAGTCAGAGGATCCGACTAAAAGCCAGAATGCACTGAGCGCTGAGCGTGAGCACAACAGGAGGATAGAAGCTGATTCATGGCAGAGTTCACTTTAGTGTAATGGAGGCGACGCACAGCCAGTGTCAGCATCTGAAAGGGTCTGCTGATGAGGCTACAGCTCACGAATGAATCCATAAATCTGGGAAATGATGTCCTTATTATCTGCACTGTGTGTGTGTGTGTGTGTGTGTGTGTGTGTGTGTAAATTTCCCTGGTAGTTATTCAAAGGATGCAAATATGCCAAAGAACAAATCCGTGATCAGATGTATCCCGCTCCTGTGCCATGCCTGCGACGCCGCGTCCGTTCCAGTAAAACGTTATTAATATAACAGATAAAACTCACAAAGTGATTCACAAAAACGTGACTTGAATAAAAAAACAAGCCAAATAACTGCAAACAAAAAACTAAACTGGGAGCTGAATTAAATGAAAACAACAGGACCTGACATGAGAAAACACAAACTCTGAAAACAAAGCAGACGATGTGACAATGACACACTGAAAACAGAGGAACAGCTGACTGACATGAGCCCAGTGACAGGACAGGGGAAGTGGAACTAAATACACAAGAATCCTTCAAAATAAAACAGGAAACAGTGAAACTAGACATGACAACACAAGCTTAGCAGACCCAACACGCGATGAACGATGCAAGAACCCAAACACAGAAACCAAGGAAACAATAAAAAATGACTGCCTTTAACCTAAAAGCTAAACAGCAACGACACATGAACTGATCACAAATCTAAAATGAGACGAATACAAAATGTACTGAGAGCCAGCCTCACACGCCTCAGTGTGTCAGCACAGAGCGAGCAGAGCGCCATTAACTTATTTCCACCAAAACATTAA